AAGGTTGAAGATTTTAGTGAAGACTCCGGTCAGTTCGTCAGCACATGCTCTGAGAATATGAGTGCTTGTGTATAAATACACAAACAATACAAATATGCTTTCAACTGTGTAATTTAAGTGATCTAGGTAGCTCTGTTTTGGAAGTTCAGTTCATGCTAGAAATGTGTTTTGGAGTTTGTAAGTGCTTTGTCTCTAGGGGCCACCGCATATATTTATATATAAACATTTATAAATAAAACCACCGTTTTTTGTTTTTTTTACATTAGTAATTCCTTTTGTGCATAATTTTATATTGTTGTTAATAGTAAATTAATTAAAGCAACAAAACAACCTGAAGAGCCGTTTGGGAGCCGAAAGAGCCGGCTCTTTTTAGTGAGCCGAGCCGAAAGAGGCGGTTCTCTAAAAAGAGCCGGAAATCCCATCACTAATTAAGACTCGACTGTACACCGTGTTCGCGTTTTCCTCCGAAACAGTAAGTTCCGTTGGAGCAGGCTTTCAACGCTCAGGCTTTCTCTGTCTCTCGCTAGCAAAGTTGACCCAGACAACAAAGTAAAGCTAGTTTTCAGCTACGAGCCCGACACGAACCCGACGTATTAGCCAGAGGTCCCTTTACTACGGTTCGGAGCCGCGGACCTTCAGTAATAGTAATAAATCATATTCATGTAGTTGTAAACATCATGATAAGATATTAAATAATCCAAAGTATTCAGAATACGTTACTCTCATTGAGTAACGTAACGGAATACGTTACAAAATAAATTTTGGGGCATGTATTCTGTAATCTGTAGTGGAATACATTTTAAAAGTAACCTTCCCAACACTGGTTGAGAACACGCTCTTTACATAGCTTTGGTTCCTCCTTTCAAGGACTTGAAGTGCCTCCCCAAAGAGTGACAGAGAGAGAGAGTGGATAAATGTTTACAGAGTGTTTTGTTAACATGAATGTTCAAGATGTTCAATAAACATATTAAGTGCCTAAATTTTCCCTTTTTTCTCGATTGTTTGCTCATGCAAAATGAAATGCAATTAATATAGAATAAAAATGGATGATATCTAATCGTGATTAATCAAAATTAATCCACCTTAACCCTGTGATGAATCTGATTATATTTTTTAATTGTTTGACAGCACTAGTATATATAATATATTAGTATATACTTACCTGTTAATATAGGTTTTTTAAACAGTTGTACTTCACAGGAGATAACCTATGCTAAAAGACTGAAGAAAACTATTCAAATTCTCTTTGAATTTAAGCATACATTCTTTGTGTTTATTCTGCATTTACTTCATTATATTGCTTAAATTTCAGTTACATGCTTAAATATAAAGTTGAAAAAATATAATTACAACCGGGCTACTGATCAAATAATTGCGATTAATCACAATTAATTACAGAAAATTGTGCAATTAATTAGTTAATTTTTTGAATCTATTGACAGTACTAATATGCATTTGTTTTTTATATAATGTTTAATAGGATATTGTAACCCAGGACAATATGATTTGGTGTGAATTGTATTTTATGCAATTGGGAATTGTATTCACATGAGTGTGAGTAGTTGTAATTCCATTACTGTGGTTCTTTTTTTCCATTGTCAAATTTGCTCATGGCAGCCAAATAATTTAACGTGGGCAACTAATCGTCACTGTTGTTACTAGTCACCCCAGAAAGCAAACAAAAATTTAATATACGTTAAATCAGAGTTATACTGTTATGGAGTTATGTAAGGATGACATGAGAACTTATCACATTTTCCTCCAACTTTAATCTGAGCTTCACTCAACTGGTTTCACAAGGTGCCAAAACATCTCCTAGAACCCAGAAACATTACTCCTCCCACTTTTCTTCTTGCTGGGTGTATGTGGAGTCCCTTGATGGTCTGCCACGCTGTCAACTTAATTTTCATTGAATTCTGACCACTTTTGCACCCTCAGTTAATATTAAAACAATGTGAAAGTAACTACTAAAGACCAAGAGGACATAAGTGGAAATTCAACTGATGTTAAACAAAACAAATTACTTAAAATACTTCAGATTAATGTATTTTACTCATCTAATATTACAATTAATGATGTAATGGTGTTGATTCTAACATTTTAACAGTTCTATTAAAGACTAGGCTCTAACATATAAGCAGCAAAAGACAACATCAGGCTATTTAATTTATGAAATCAAGATTAGTTTACAATCATTTTGGTAAATTCACTCCTGCACTGAATGATGTCCTTCTCTGGTCTGGATCATCCTAACTGTGAGCTACCTATAGTTAAAGGAGAACTCACAGACTGTTACTGCTTCAATTTGCCGAGTTGTCTCATCTACAAAAGAAACCAAAACCGAAAAGTGACTGAAGGACATGAAAAAGTTAAGGAAAGGGCATAATTTGGTCAGATTTTAAATTTTCCACCTAAGACATGTCTCTCTGTTTCACTAACTCATCCTAGCTAATATAATCCGCCTGAAGTATCAGTTACATTAGCAATCTAACTTCAGTTAATGACATTTTTGATGTGTCTAATAATGACCATGGTGACAGTCATACATCTACAATATTTGTCAATGTATTGCATGTTCAGCAATATATGCACAGATGGGGTGTACCACTGTGCGAGGGGTGCAATGGAACAGTCTAACTGATAATAGCTTTTATTTCCCGGTTAACTAGAAAGCCACAACTTTTCAACTAAATCACACTGTTATACACATACACTGTCAGATTTCATCAGTATTTTAACATTGATCCAACATGTATATAGCACTGAGATTTCAATCTTGACTATAATGATAATGTGGATGAAAACTCTGCATCAGTTTAATGTCATCTTACTATCTGGGGCATTTTATCTACCTCACATCTATACCAATTTAGAATCACCAGATCTCCCCTGTGCTTTGAACCTCAGTGTGTATTTAGTGCAACAGAGAGCTTGGATAACCTCCAGCTCTATTGCAAATTGCAAAATCATGCCACCTTTCTTAAGCAGTGGTTCCAATGCACATTCAGACTGCCAGTTTCCACCGTGTCCACCTTGCTTTACCCGTCCAAATGGATGAACTCATAACCACTGCTACATTATCAAGTGGAGTTATACCGTACTAAAGATATCACTAAAAGACCTTTAATCTCTTTACTGTTTACCCTCTTTAACTTGGAAAGTCAAATATTGTATTTCTGACAATAAATTGTACTGTTAAAAAATTCAACTGTGAACATGTGAGCCATTATATAGATGTAAGTGTGCAGATGTCTATACATGCATCTTTTACAGTGAAAGAGTGAGCCTGTGGTTTCTGTTTGAATATTTCACCCATGACCAGTGTGTTTGCTTAAACTCCAGTTTAAACACCATCATACCCTACCAGTGAAAAAGCAAACATTACCAACTTGTAAACACAGTTAAGTCATTTAATTTGTGGGTAATAGAAAGTCGACATTAAAAAAACAAAACAATTAAAAAACAAAAAAACATGCTGATCAAAATATTCCATTAATCTTTTTATCACAGTTTTGTTTTCATAAGACTACATATTACATTTTATTCACTGCTTACACAAAGTGCAAATTAGACAGCCTTGCTACTGCCTCTAGTGCCAAGTTTAAAGTCCTTGCTTAGGATATTAAATTAGGATTAATGACCGATTGATCCTAATCTTCCAAATCATGTCAAGCAGAGCTCTTGGACGTCGCTGAAACTTCACGATCATCGCTACGGACAGTGTCAGATTATAGCCGAGGACTGGATTATCACTGCTAATCCAATTACACATGGTGTGCTGTAATCGGCTGTGACACTACTGTAAGTAAGGATGACCATTTGGAGACTGAATTAAAAATTGTGAACATGCACTCGTACCAAATAAATAAATAGGAAAGCTGTGGCTGTACCTAGAAATTATTTCCAAGTTTAAACACCTACTGGCATAATAATTGATGTGTGGTTTGTAACGCCCAAATCTCTGTCGATACTTGACTATCTCTAGTGACATCGGACCATTTAGTGGTCAAGCAACCGGAAATAGAAAAACTCACAACCGATGACGATTTGACTCCACCTCATGATACCATTTAGCAACAGATGAGCAGCGCTTCATGTTCATTTTGTCGGGCCAGAGTGAAGCACAGCTGCTGCCGTGGTTTCCTGAGGGAATACTTCACTGTGTAAATGTTTGTCGGGGTTGCGGTCCGTCCCTCCGTCCCTTGCACCGTAGCTGGCTGAAACCGTTAGCGGCTTCCTCATCCAGAAACACCCCGCGTGAGTCAGTGCTGCTGCTAGTTTCTGCGGCGGTTTCGCTATGGATGTGCTGTGGATGATACCGCTGCTGCTGCTCATGATTATTCCGCTCCTGATGTGCACCAGCAGCACGTTTGTTTTTTATTTCAAAAAGTTCTTTTACGTGGCCTGGATGATGGTCTTGGCCCTCATCGGTATACCTCTGTGCATACTAAAGAGCGGAGGCAGAGACATTGAAAACATGAGGTGAGTTTTGCAGAAATGTCGCTCGCGGCGCCGTCTGACAGCTAGCCCTCGCTAGCTCGTTAGCTGGCTAGCAACCGTGGTTGTTTATATTGAAGCATTTGGGTTTTTACTCTCAGCAGAAACAATAATGGCCTCATTGTTGCGAGGAGTTAAGTTGGCGTTACAGCAATGTGGCGCAGGAGGTGTTTCCTGCCAAACTGTGTGAAATTTGAAATAAATAAATAAGCAGAAAATGAAGAAATCCCTAATGCAGTTTTCTTTATCATTCATATGCTACTATTAGCTCGCTTGGCACATTGGCAGTAGCGGCGTGTGGACATTAGCTAAAAATCAGGGCGCTAATGTGACGTTGCGTTCATGCTGGGTTAATGTTTGGTAAATCTTAACGCAAGAAAAGCAATAATATCTTTAGATGACGGATATTTTCAATGTATTTTCTGCAGGCACTTTCTTAGAATCCCAACCCATACAAGTATCCACTAACTTGTGCCCTCTGAACGTGTAATCCAGCACTGTATCCGCTCAATTTGTCCTGTCTTTTTAAATCTGTGTGTGTGTGTGTGTGTGTGTGTGTATAAAGGAGTGACTCATTTATTGAATCCATAGTTACTAGTAGTGCTGATTTAACTTTATATTTCTGTCTTATTCCACCTCATTTCATTTCTGTATTTTATGTATATAAGTTTAGATTAGTTATTTATAGTTGGTTTACACAGCGTTGTGTATGTGTAATGTGTATATATAGACACGTGTGTGTGTGTGTGTGTGTGTGTGATTTACATTGCTGTGCTTGAGAGCCACCATCTACCGGAACCAAATTCCTTGTATGTGTGTGCACATATATTTGGCCAATAAACACGATTCTGATTATCTGCCTCAGTTTACATCTGTGTTGGGGGTAGAATGTTAAACATTTTACACCTGACACCAAAATCAGTCACCAAAACTGATCCTTACTGTAGGAATGTAACGCATCTTCAGTGTTGGTGTTCACGTTGTAGGGGGTGTTGTTGTGTGGTTGGTTAAATCTAGTCAGTGGTGATGGCTTGCTGCACACAAATGACTGCATTTCAGTAATTACCCTGAAGAGACAGATGCCAGATGGCACTTTCCCCTGATTGGAGCTGGGTTACTGAATAGTTATGAGACCCATCCTCAATGCAACCTCACTTGGCCCTGAACTGCTGACAGCAGCAATGTCGGTTACAACAGCAGACCTTACTGCCTCAGTGCTCCAGGAATAACAGTGTCACAGTCATGTTAGCTGTGCCAGTGGTGTCATGTTGCACCAGTGTACCGTTCTATCAGTGCAGAGGTTATCTGGACCGGTTGTCTGTGACAAAGTGACTGAACTGAGGTCAGACCTTAGATGAATGAATAGACTTTTTGGATGGATATTTTACAAGGCAGACAGGACTGGAAGAGAGAGCACTGTAATTCAGAGGGTTCTGTCACCTAAATTTACTGTTACACCAAAGCTTGAAGACTTGCTTTCCAGTCACTTTACCTCTGAATTAAACCTGTAGGCCACAGCAGGTATCCATGAGTTCGCTCACTCAATAACATCTATAAAGCATCAAGTTACAGCTTGTGTTGTGCTTTCATTTCTTGAAACACATCCATTAATTTACGTTTAATTGAAACTGTTTTATCCGTCACTTATGTGAATGGCTACTTCTGGGTATGGGTTAGTTATTAGGTAGGATCTCATGACAACAGATAAAGGACAGGGGTTTAGTTTTCTCACTCACAATTGCATGAGCTCATGTTCTGTGCTGTGTAATGGTGTCGAACATCCGTGGGAGATTAGTGGCCCTGTCTTTTTCGTAAAGGAGTAATATTGCCACTCAACTTACTGTATTGAAAACAACCATTTTTTTTGCCATAGTATTTCTGATGGAAGTAATTGTTAGCTCTGTCACCCTGAGACTCTGATTAGATGCCTGTCCTTTGGACAACTTACTGACCTTAAACTTGTGAGTAAACTCAATAAGATTGGCAGTTTTACATTTTGGCAAAACAGGTCAGGCTGACCTTTGGAGTGGCCACATTGCATATGATTTATCCTCTTGTTCAAATTTGATTGCACTCTCAGGGTTGCAGATAATGAAGTGAACCAAAGTAAATGCTTAGTGGACTGATCATAAAATATAATTCAACAGCGGTCACTCATTACCCTTGAACATAGAGTTGCTGCAACACTATATCGTTGCATAACCTGTGGCTTTTACTTCAGACCGAATGTGTTATCACTGCACCGCTATGTTGTAAGATAACCAAAAGACTACTCTAGTCTAAAGGTTAACAAGATTTTTCCTGTAGATTACCAGTCAAGCGCAAGTGGAAACAAAATCTACTACAGTCATCAGAAGATAGTTCTGAGAAATAGCGTACCACCACTTACTACTTTATATTTTGCGTATAAGGAGCCGGACTGTGTTTCATTTTTATTTAGAAGTGGTTGAGTAATGGTTCTGCCTGAAGGTCGCTTAAAACATAAAAAAGGGCACCTGTTATGTCCACACATTATAACTTATCAAAGAACCAATTTTAAATTGTTCAAATGGTGAAGAACGATTGTCTAAGAGAGTTTAGGCTGCGTTGAAGAATAAAGCTGGTCATACCAAATATTAACTTTGCAGCTTGTTAGAATTGCGCAAACTCAGTTTTTTTTTTAGTTTTTTTTTTTTTTACTCTTTATGTTGTAGTTGCATGTATGCTTGCACATTTCAGCAAATACAGTACTTATGTCCTATATTTCCTACCAAAATCTAAAGACATGAAGTGTGGTTCAAGACTTTTTTTTTTTTTTTTGCTGTATTTTAGTAAGAAACTAGGTCCAGTGTATATTCGAAAAAAGAATAATCTGGTAGTTCTTTTTTTTATTTAATTTTTAAAGTGTAGAGTAGAATCACTATAAAATTCTTAAAAGACTGCATGTGAGGCCTTTGTCAGCAGAAAAGGGTGTGAAATTTATAAAAAAAAAAATAAAATACAGTTAAAAGTATAAAAATTTTTGCCCTTCATATTTTCCAAAGCCCTCTAGCAAACCGAACTGGAGTCTTTGCTGGACCAATTCTAGGTCCTGAGCCTTATGTTTGACACTCGTGCTTTCGAGTTGGCAGTATTGAGTTGGGATGTGCCTAAATCCTTAAAGCTGCTCCTTCATGGCACATTATTAGCATTTGTGGTGTAGTTTTAATGAGTATGTGTGGCATCAGATGCACGTTATGGCTGAAACTTGCTCAAAGATGGTTTTAAGTAGTTAGGTAGATGTTTTAGTCCATCGACACATTTTGTGTACGGTCATGAAACTGAGCTTAAATGAAAGCAGAGTTGAAGATTAGTTTGGTTCCTGTAATAGCTGGTTTCGCAAGAAAACTACCCCATGTTACAAGAAGGATAGTTTGTTGTTTTTGGGACAGCAAACAGAGGGAATGTGATTCAGGGATGAGCAAGGTCTCTTCTGTAAGTATTATGTATAGTATTATGTATAGCCTCTTCCTGAGGCCGGATTGGTAGTGCCTCTGCTCTTTTTCGGAGAAATTTCATTCAGATTATTGACAGAAGCCAGTTTTAGTGTGTCACACAGCTAGTTTGCTATCCAAAATTAGTGGTACAGTTTAGCATGGAGAATGTTATGGGAGTATGATTGTTCAGCTGCAAATGTAAAGTAGCATTTGCATGATGTGTGAACTCTGCCTGAGCTCATCATGGTTGTTAAGAATCACACTGAAAGTTTTCCAAGCCAAGGGGCACCTTGGATTTGTCTTAACAGAGGTCAGAGCTGTTATCATGTTTGTGTCTATAAAGGTTAAGCTTTACAAGTCCCAATAGATCTCATCTGGTGGATCAGACAGTTTCAGGCTTTTAATAGTTGCAAGGGGGGAAAGAAAAGCTTTAAAAAAATGGTTTTGTTAGATCATCAAATCACATTTATAAACAAGCACATGCTGACTAACAAACAGCTACAGTAATCACGTCATTATTGAACTTGAGTAATCATGCACAGTGCAGCCCAAAAAAAACCTTGTTTCTGTTGAATTTTTTTTCTTCTTCTTCCCTTTTTTCCTTGTCCATTGCCTCATTGCATCAGCGAACCTCAGGTCACGAATGCCCTGACAGTAGGGCTGCACGATTTTGCATAAAATGAGAATCACGATTTTTTGGCTTAGAATTGAGATCACGATTCTCTCACGATTTTCTTTTCCAGTATAAATATTTATTGCACTTATTAACTGCACATCAACTTCGTAACAGTTGAGACTGAACATAAAAACAATAAATAAACATAAAAACAACAAATGTCTCACGTTTTGTTGTTGCCGCAAAATGTTGTACTGCTTGAAATTCCGTCTCCACCGTTGCTCGACGCTGCGTGTATAGAGCAGGTAGTGCAACAATAGAAAAATAGTTGCGGGACGGCACTGTGTAGCGTTTGTCTAGGGTGTTGATCATTTTCCTAAATCCCTCGTTTTGCACAGTGTTGATGGGAGCCATATCTTTGGTCAGGTGATAAGTGATAGCCTCCGTAATTTCTTTGTGCCTGCGGGAGTTCGACGGGTATAGGGAAGCGCTGTATAAGGTTCCCGTTATTGATGTTTGGGTGGTTGACCGGGACGGATTTTCTCCTGTCACTTTCTCGTCATCCCTGACGTGCTCTCCGTTGTTTTTTCCCTGCTAATTTTAGCATCACACGGCACAGCTTCTGTATCACGTGGTATAAGGCTCCGCCCTTGTCATTTGTTGAGCAGGAAGAGTGAGCGCTTGTTTTCATGCAGATTACGTCCCGGATCAAAATGCGGTACAATCGTCGTCTTTTTTTTTTTTTTTTTTTTTTTTTTTTTTAATCGTTGTCATTTGGAAATGAGATCGCACATAAGTATGAATCGAGATCGCGATTTTCTAACGATTAATCGTGCAGCCCTACCTGACAGTTTCTAGTAAAATTTCCTTGTAACATGTTTTTTTTTTTCTTCTTTTAACCCTAACTGCAAACAGATTACTTTTTAGTGATACTTGGAGAGCGCTCCCATGGAAGCCTATAGTTTTGTGAGTTATTGTAAGGCTGCTTTTGTTGTTGTCAGCAGACTAGCTCTGATAAACGAACTGTTCACTACCTGCCTATCAGAGTAAGACAGATAGTGACTATCTTGCAACGAGATAAAAAAAAAAAATTAAATGTTCAGATAAATAAAAATGTGCATCTACTTTGACTAATCAAAGCCTGTGTGTTCTTTTATGTAATGTTTGTCTTGAGGCAGGTGGATGAACATTGCTTTGTCAATGGTTACTGGAGCGTTATACATGGTGAAAGTAATTATTTCCCCAACCAGGAAAAAAAACAATGCTTAAAGGGGTGTTGAACATGATTAATTTAACCCATGTGTTTAAAGATAGTTGTGATTATATTGCCTGACACATTCCGCTTTTGTTTCTACCTTTCACAGGGCTTTGGTTAGTAATATGCAATACACTGGCTGGCATCATAAGTAACCAGTACATACTCACTGTATTTAACCTTTTTCTCTCTTTTAGGATCATCCGTTTCATGGTTCGACACGTCAAGTATTTGCTGGGTCTTCGATTTGAAGTGAGCGGTTGGGAGCATCTGCAGACCGAGGGTCCCTATGTCGTCATCTCGAACCACCAGAGCTCCCTGGATGTTTTGGGTGAGTCTTTTAGTGCTTCTCTGAAGACAGACGTTTTTGATATTGATTTAAATGCTTTCAAATACAGTCATACAATCAATTTCTTTTGGCATTTTAGCAAAAAATATAATTGGTGAAGCAGATAGAAAGGGCATGTGGATAAAGAGAAGGGTGTGCAGTAAAGGTCCAGCTGGCTGGGAATTGCTGGGATCCTGCTTGGGGCATTTGCACCCATGCAGGATGTCTTTACTGCTCTGTCACCAGGTAGGCCTGTTTGATGACACACTTAAAGGTTATTTGAAACACATTCAACTCTCTACTTATAAATGGTCATAAACATCAGATTGAAACATGTGTTGAAAGTTTAGCAGTGACAGCGTGTCTCATCTGTTTCTCACTATACACCGACTTTTAATCTGAGAGGAAGAATGAAGCAAGGCAGTCATGCGGACGGCAGATTTGTCTCAGCTGTAGTTTTTGTGCTTTTAAGCCCTACAGACTCAAGAAAACAAACCAAGAGTAGGAAAAAGAGAGAATCCTCACCAGGGAAGAGTTGTTTTACAGTGAGTCCAGTTCATCCTGAGCAACTTGATACCAGATATGATGCATGCGGTCCTGAACATTTTAGTTGGAGGAGCAGCATTCCTCTGCAGTAGATGCATGAGTCCCAGATGGAAGAATTGTACCGTTAAGCTCCAACCATGGGAATTTTTGAATCCCACCTTAATATACATGTGACAAATCTCTACCTCATGACCTAAAGTAGGAAAGGAAAAGCTGATATCGAGCCTCGTCGACTGATGGCTAATTTAATGTCTGCTCCAATCCACAGGCCGAGAGACCAATCAGGGACCCAATAGGGCTAAAAATGTATTTACCTACTGGCTTTAGGAAGCTTTTTTGTCTTGGTGAAATTGAACACAAAGAGGTTTAGGATTACTGTGATTGCGCTGGTCACTAGCAGATTACTCTCGTCACCTGTACATTTTGTAAGATGGATGATGCCAACTTGTCTGCAAACAGTTGCCAACTAATCACCAAGCAGTTAAGAAAATTTGAATTGTAAACACAAACTGAAAATAGGAAAATGTTGTGCTTTTGGAAATGTGTTCAGTGGCCCAACTTTACTTTGGAGGCATTTTGCAGCTCCAGTTTATCGCTCTTCTTCAAGTTTTACTACCAGTCTGTGGTTAGTTCCCCGGTATCTACAGACAAGTTGGCTTCTTCATGCAAACCGCTGGCAAAACCACAAAATATGCATATTAAATAATACAAGAACGAATCTTGAATATCAGAAGAGTTCATGTCACCTGTATTCTGGTCAGCATGTAGTGATAGCTAAACTCAAGCCTGTGTGAAAGCACAAAAGCAACCAGCTAACTGGTACAGATGTTTGCAGTTGGCTCAGTTCCTGCACATGTAGTACCAGATGCAACTTGTTTTTGTGTCAAACTTTATCCTTGGTCTCTCCTTTTGAAAGTCATATACTACTATCTAGAGCAGGGCGATATGGCCAAAAATATTTATCACGATATATATTTGAAAATTTGCGATAACGATATAACTGACGATATAATTGATGCGAGACAAAATACAACTCCACAACATTACTAGCGCAAAAAGACAACCTTCCATTTATTTTCACTTAAACAAGAAGCTGGTTTTTATGTACATTAAAGCTTTATAAAAATGTAACAGTGCAAATGCAAATTCCTTGCTGAAAGTTTAACCAAAAGGCATTTCCAGTAGAAATGGGCTGACATATCCTGAGCATAACCATGTATAATATCCACTGAAGTTAAAAAGAGGTGCTTTGCAACATTAAACTGCAGTGTGCAGTACGTATTTTTCGGACCATAAGGTGCACGGGATTATAAGGCACATTAAGCGAAACAAAGCAGTCAGATAAATCAAACTTTATTAAACTCATTCTTCTTGCTTCCTCCACTTCTGTACCATTGATTCATTAATGTTGAATTCTCTGGCAGCTGCTCTATTCCCATGTTGTTGCAGTATATTAATGACTAACCTCGTATTGTGGATGGATTATCTCAGTTGTTCTCCTGACTGAAGTTTGGTCCGTTTACAGCATCCTGCCATGCGATTGCATTTGTCTCTAACTATCAGGAACCTTAACGTTAACTTTTATAAGTGGAAAAGTGTTAGTGTTCGTCCTCCAGCTTCACTGTTTATGTTATGCTAACATAGCTGTGTCGCTAGCGATCACGTAGCACATCATTATATACCAGCTAGCCCAACTTCAGTAACCCTACAAACGTCACTGCTGTTTAGTTTCTGTCTTCATTTATGTTGGAAGTGATAGCAGAGCTGTACGTTTGATTTTTTTCAGAAATCTCTCAGTCAGAACATGCATATCATGCTTAGGTAACTAGCGAGCTAACTTCCGCTAGCTTCCTGCTAACTTCTAACTCCGTTAAATGTAATAAATTTTGTTTTCATGGATGCCTGGAAGTTAAACTTCATAGTTACACCTGGTAAAGCAGCAATGCTGATCGTTTTATTAAAGATGAAAGAATTTAGACAGTTTTTAACTCTCAGTGATGCTGCAGTGTTCGTTTGACCTGAAGCATACGGAGTTTAGGACCCAGATTACTCCCAGATTTAAGAGCATCTTAGTCCGACAAATACGACAATAACGACGGCCGCTTGCATGTTCTGCAAAAAAATGTGCTTTGTCGTGTATCTGACGGACAAACACCAAACCAGTTCCACATCACTGAAGTTGCACCATTTTTACAAACCAATTCTGGTTCATCTGTTTCACTCAACAATCGGCCATGTGCGTATGAAAACAAAGGCACTGCGCATGCGCGTTTTACTCATATTCTATCGCGATATTTCATTTTCCTATCGTTGCCTAACATTATACCGGTATTACCGGGAACGGTATAATATGGCCCAGCCCTACTACTATCATTATTCTATGTCACAATGGTTATACATAACAATTCCTTTTTTTCTGGATCTAAGTAGCTACTATTTCTGAGCCGTACTCCAATTTTAACGCTCGTTCCTTTGTATGCAAACAGGAACTGGGGAATATGTAAATAATAACAGCTACATTGTGGGTTATGCCATGCGAAAACACTTTGTGATCAGACTGCAAGATTGTCTGCGGCAGCCGTGATGGAGCCAGACTGTGATCTGGTCTCATCCTGTCAGTTTAGTTCTTCTCAGCCAGCAAACAGTGGAGCAAGACTTTAGCTGTGCCACCATCTACAGCTTTATAGCTCCGTTCATTAAGGGAAAGTCTGCACAGGCTACTCACAACTTATTGGAACCAAATGTTAAGGCCTTCCAGGTGTATCTCACTTTACACTCCCACCTACTTAAGCAACGGTCACCTTTTCTGGTTTGTCAGACAGGCAGTAGGCATGTTAAAACTAGGGGAATTGTTAGATTACTGCATTCCAGCTTTGTGTTGGTACACAGTGCTTGTCAGAACAGAACAGTTTTCACAACCTCTGTTGATACAGGATCACGTGCTGTTTGCTTCTCAGCAAGCTGAATAATACAAAACCTGGTGAAGAAACAAAGCACGGGCACAGAAAGAACCTGTTACATTGGTATGGGTTTTTAAACATTCTTTACATACTGATCACTTACTGTATGAATGAAATGTAGGCCTCACAGAACCCTGTCTGAGCTACACACTGGTCGGAAACAAAAGCATGTTGTAGAAAGGCTTCGATTCCTCTTTTATTTATTTTCTTCAGCTTGTATTGTTGATAGTTGAGATGTCTTTTAACAGTATCTCATTCTTCCCTGTTCTAAACCTGAGTGTTGAGGGACGGTTTCTCTCCATCAGTGTGTGGGGGAGAGGGTTTTTCAGCACTGGTGAGTGATGAGGGGAGGCTCAAGGCCAGGGTAGTGATAGCAGGAGGAGAGCTAGGCGTCTAATTAGCACTGACAAAACTCAGCATGCGGTTTGTTTGGCGTCCAAGTTGCCATGCCGACTGCTTCACCCCAGCCATTAGGAGATGCGGATCCTAGAGCAGATGTTATATTAGTTTCTTCACCTTTCTGAGCTGCTTTTTCAGCTTGGTTTAAATGCATCTGCTCACCTGCTGTTTTCAGAGTAACATCTTATAAAGAGATAAGACAAAGAGGCCAAAGCATGGATGTTTTCATCTGGTCACTGATCCTTCTCTGAATGAGCTCCAGTCAAAAGGCAGAAACATGTGATTTCAGTTTGGGTGTTATCCCCTTCTAAGAAATCGCCACTTCAGACATGTAGCGGTGCTACAAATATCCCATTCGACCACTTATCAGGGTTCATATCCAGCTCTTCGTGGAGGTGGACTCTCTGCTTTGAGAGGGTGTATTTTTAAAGTCTCTATGGTATAAGTGCATTGCATTTGGGGTATTATTTAATGACTGAAAGGAAGCCAATTTATTATAGTACAAGTTCTTATTGACTCTCTGTAACTTGTCATATTAGCAAACTTTGAAGCTACAAAGCAGTTGCTAGTAGAAAGCTGTGCGCTTAACTGCAATGTCTTTAACTTTTATTTTAATTTATTATTTTTATATTTTAGTTTTAAAAGTAGTTTTTGTGAAAACTGTCACCACAAGGTGTCACCGTTTCACTAGGTTGTAGTATAGCATTACATTTTTATTTTTTTATGGACGTTTGAAATATGTTTAATTTTGAGAAACTGCAGTCTCTGTGCTCTTCTAGCTGCCAAAATAAGTCGGGTGAGTGTGATAGAATCATGAACTCTTTACAAGTATTGAGCTAACATCTGGTATATCTCATTTTGGACACAGCAGATTGGACTTACTGCACCATCTTGCGGTTCAAAGTGGTATTACATGGAAGTACAGCCAAGCCCTGTTTGTACTACAGTTGTCTCTGCACAAAGACATCTTGGAAATGGAAATGATGAGCCGTTGTTTCTTTGCCAAAACCAAAAACCCCCACTATGTACATACAGTAGCTGTGATGGTTCTAAAAGTTTCATGATCCTGAAGGTTAAGTCTCTTGTTTTGTCTCTCAGGCTTGATGGAGATCCTACCAGACCGCTGCACCACAATTGCTAAGAAGGAGCTGATCTATGCCGGTACAGTGGGCCTCATTTGCTGGCTGGGCGGGATCGTCTTCATCAACCGCAAGAAGACGAGCGATGCCAAAAGCGTGATGGCTGATGCCGCCAAAACCATGTTGGACGACCAGGTAACCTGCCTCCAGTTAACACAAGAAACATCTTCATCTCAAGGTTCTGTTGTAGTCTTTGTTAGAGAATGTGAGCTGGTTAAATCAACCTTGTCTTATGACTTTCACAGATTCGTCTGTGGGTATTTCCAGAGGGAACCCGTAACCAAAATGGCGACCTGCTGCCCTTCAAAAAGGGTGCTTTCCATCTGGCAGTGCAGGCACAAGTAGGTTTATTTATTTGCTTTAAAGATCTTAAATCTTACCTTGTACGTAGAGTGAAGGAGTGTTAGAGCTCTCCTAGCTTTTTGCTTCATCCATACATGTAAACATCCTGTTTATTCTCTTTACTCTGTCAGGCTGTGATGATTCTGTTGGTATTTCAGGAAGCTTCTGCCAGCTTAGGGTTCCCAATAGTGAGGGGGCCGATTCCAGACACGTGGGGGAGCTAGCAGACTTATGTGGGGCAAGACTAAATTATGAAATCATAATTTAGTAGAGAGTGCAGCTTGCAGCCAGGTCATTTTCTATGATATTTTTTCGGCATTGTGTTTGACACAATGCTAGTGCGCTCTCACAAAGTGATTGGTGGGACAGCAGCAGACATGACCTCCAGTTCAGAATGGCTGCAGCTCAGCTGTACAAATTTATGAGCTTTATCTCTGCGTGCATGCAGGTGGGAGGTCTCTGTTCTCCAGTTAATTCATATTTTCATAGCAACACTCGGGGTCAGAAAGGTGGGATAAATTACACATACGCAAAAAGAAAAACACTCTCGAATGAGACCTAGCCATGAAGCTACAATGGTGTGTGCATGTGTGAACCCAGATTTTGTAACTTGCAGCTGAAGATCGATATCAGTCGGGTTCAGATATGCACCAGAGTCTGCAAAAATAAAGCCCTGCTGCTCCTCGTTAGAAAACACATTAATATTTTGGTAAGAGGTTCTTACGCTTTAGAGCGCTTGCTAACGCATTTAGTGGATGTTAACAAAAGCACTTTGTTTGCATTTGAAGTGCCGGAGTAACTCCATTTGAAATGTGTTGAATACAGTCTGTTTCACCTTTCCCTGATGGCTTTTTTCTTCTTCTTTTTTACACACTTGAGACTGTTTCTCTCTCTGCATTTGCTTCTGCTGAGTTAGGCCAGCCTTTTCATTCGTACCCGGCCGGCCAGATTGAGTGGAAACAGGACAGCCCCCAGGGGGAGCCGCGTTTGGCTCAGTCAGCCCTGCTGAAGGGCCACTCGGGGCCTTGAGACAGAGCAACTCGGCCTCTATTAGCGGGAGTGGAGGAGATGGAGAATGCTTGTGTCATGCTGAGTTTGTGTGTGTTTGAAGAAATGTGCTGCTGGTTTAATCAGGCATTTCGGCCTTTTTTTGATTGGTTTAGAAAGCATTTCCTTTTAGGGCTTCTTTTCTGTCTCTTTTCTTATTTTTGCCTTCGTTTTTTTTTTTTTTTTTTTTTTTCTTCCAGGTACCCATCATACCTGTCGTTTTCTCCTCCTACAGCAACTTCTACCTACGGAAAGAAAAGCAGTTCAAATCGGGTAACTGTCCTCAACTTTTTAATTTGTGTTGGGTCAAATGACAATAACATTAAAACAACAGCTTGATGTTCCCCGAGACTCCTGACTCTAAAGTTTTTTGGGGGGTTTTGCCCCTGCAGGAATCATCAGATTGAAGATCCTTCCAAAGATTGAGACAAAGGGGATGACTTCAGACGATGTGGCATCCCTGTCTGACAAATCCTTTGACCTGATGCGCGCTGCCTTCCTGGACATCTCTGACTCCATAACCCGGAGCAACGGGCCCGTAAGGCACTGAACATTGATCTTCCACCCGCCCCCTGTTTTTTCAGCCCCATGTCTGATATCCACCCCTCCCCAAGGCCCCCCCACTCTCCGCCCCAGGTTGTCCCACCGCCTTCAGGAAACAATGTGACGCAAGTCTTTTTGTGACGAAAGCTCTTCATGTCTAGTTGACGCCTGGTCCGGTCCACCTCTGGCCTGAGCACACAGCACAGTCAGTCCTGACCCTCACTGTCGCAGCAGCAGCTGCTCTGCACTTTGTGAGCGGAGTGACGGACGGCGAGCCGAACAGTCTGGGTGTGTGTTGTTCATGCATGCCTTTTGGATGGCTCTGTCCACCTTTCATCCTTGCTTTGCAAATCTCAGCTTTCTTATTGTCTTACTTTATTGCTGTTTTCTACTTTTCTTTGGCCTTTTATCTTCACCTGCTTTTGTTCGTTTTGCCTTCTGTTCAGCAGATAAACTTTGCGGGGTTTTTTTTTTTTTTTCCTGATCATAAATGTCAGTGGATATTTATGTTTTCCTCTCATGCTGCCTTGGTTTTAGTTCTCTTCGGATGCTTAAACAGACATACACAAAATCAAAGTACCCCATCTCATTTCTTCGCTTTTAGTTCTTTTCTGTTTCTCCCCTTTATGCATTCCAGTCTTTTGCCCAAAGACAAAAATGAGTGCGGGTCTCCACAAAGTGCGGAGCGTGTGGAAGGAAAGGACACCCACGACTTTCTATAGCTCTGTCGCTCTAGATTGAACTCTGTATCCACATTGGCTCATCAACCCAATGACCAATAGCTCCATGACACGCTTCATGATGTCAGAAGGCAAGGAATGCAAGATACCGTGTATAACAACAGCACCCATCTGTACTGGATTTATGGACTTCAGTGAACTGATCAGTTCTCAGTGTCGTATGTTGGTGTATCCCTGTACATTCTTCCAGTTTGTCTCTCTCTCCAAAAATGAATTGAAGCAACCGGTCTGCAGCAAGTGTCCTCCAGCAGTGCTCTAAACTCAAACTCTAATTTCACACTCTTGCTTTGTTGTTGTTGTTGTTTTGTTTTTTCAGGATCACCTTTATGCTCCTACTCATATACAAAGTGTCAAAAGAAGTGAATTCTTTAAGTGCAATGTCCAACTGTTTCAACATTACTACTGTTCCAAAGTGCGAGCTACCTGCTGTGCCATGACAAAGATGTTTTGGGAGGTTTCCAATGTGGGTGGGGTGGTTTATTTTTGTTTGTTTGTTTGTTTTTTGTTTTTGTTTTTTAATTACTATCTCCTTACGGTCTACTTAACTGGTGACCCCTGAAATTATTTAAGGCAGTTCTTGCCATAAACAGGGGGAGGAAACCTATGAGATGATTTAGATCTCTAGTATTTGTTCATTTATTAGGATTAAATCAAGGAATCCCAACGTACTAACAAACTCAAGGATCTAATGACTGAAGATGTGTTATGTTGATTGGGTGTGATGGGAAGCCTGTTTTGTTTTTGTTTTTTTTTGTTTTTTTTGTTTTTTTTTTTTAAATCCTATGAGAATAAGTTATTATATTTAGTTATGATGTTCTGATTATTTAACCTCACTGGAAACTATTAGATTATTTAAACAGGAAAAAGTGCAACAATTTGGCCTGAATTTTGATTGTTGGCATCATTGGGTGAGTTTTGGTTAAAATGGATTTGTTGTATGATTTGTACTGAAAGTGTCTTCGGACCACTGACTGAACCGCTTTCGTTTACACCCAGGTCTTAGTTTCACTTCGCTCAGAGTGCAGCCACAGAAATGATTAATTCTGCCCATCAAACACAATCTGAGAATGTACCACAGCATTCAGGACAGTTGTTTGTTACTAATTGCAATTTTTGAAAAAAATGACTTTTGCTTTCTTTATTAAAACTGTGACGTTGCTTTGCATGTACTTGGCATCAAATGTAGGTGACTTATTGGGTTGAGCACAAGGCATTAGGCTTAGTCTAACCTTGTTGTGCGCACTGACCTCCTGAGGAGCTCATGTGAATGGATTTATGGATACTTTGGTAGTATGCCCTGCTACGTGCGTTGCTGTTCGTAGTTGAGTGCACTTACTTTTAGTGAGCCCTGCTTTGGTGACATGCGAGTCTGATTTCAGACAAGTTCCTAATCCAGTTTGGATCATAAGCCCTTACTATTAATCAATACTAATAACCCAACCTGTTCTCTATTATTATTATTATTATTATTATTATTATTCCTATTATTTTATGATTATTATAATTTTTTGTTATTTTTCTTTTTTCTATTCTTTTTTTTGTTTTGTTTTGGGTTTTTTTTGTTTTGGGGGGGGGCTGTCTAAGACCAGTTTATACCTTTGCAGCAGGTGTTTCGAATGTTCAAAAAGCACTCTACCAAATCGGTTTCTTTCCAAAAACGATCTATACCATATGCATTTATTTAGTGGAGTGTGCTATCCATTTATTCCCTTACAGTGTGTGTGTGTGTGTGTGTGGTGTGTGTGTTTGTGTGTGTGTGTGTGTGTGTTAGGGGTGGCTAACACAGTCTGTGCTTTGCTGGCTAAACAAGGCCTGCAACGTCCTGCCTGTTTATTTCCGTGTTTAATTGCCCCCCCCCCTTTTTTAATTTTTTTTTATATATATATAAAATCTTTTGTGTCCCCCCCCCCCCCCCCATAGCCGTTGTTTACAAACTAATATGTAAGATATTGGAAAATATTCAAAGTATTCTTAAAGCACTTTTCATGCCGAGTTCTCGTGGGCGAAAAAAGTTTGTTTCCACCAAAGCTATTAATGTGTAATTTAGATGGATATGAGAAACAGAGCTGACATCCTGCAGAGCCGTGTGTGTGTGTGTGCGTGCGTGCGTGCGTGCGCGCGCGTGGCCCTTTATTGTATGTGTGTACATATGCACACATGGTATAGATGCCCATTATAAGTATCTGGTTAATATTTAATGTAGTGTTCTTGATTTCACATATTCTGGGTAAATGTGAATGCCTTGCATAACATTAAGTAAATAAATTCTTTTTGTTTTTTCTTAATTGGTCGTGTACTGAAATGCCTGTCTTGCCCTCCTCTGGGACTCATTTTAAAATCAACAGTGGAAAAGGTACTTACTGTATGAGACTCGGCAGTAATGGCTTTAATCTGAGGCACGACAGAACTTAGTTTGTTCCAGCTGTTTCTAGAAGTTCTCAAAGTTCACCGCACACCATCAGACCAGATCCACACATAAGCTTCGTACAGTTGCAGCAAACTACGCTCCGACTTAAAGTTGGGGCATAACGACCTGGAGGTACTTTGTTTCTATTTTCACTTTCTGCTACTTCATATTAATATTCCACATTAACTCTGTGACATTTGACTGCGTGTTTGCAGACATGTTGCACTGTGAAGCACAAAAAGTGTTCTGAGACCTAAAACCTTTTAATTTCATGGAGCAAAAAGGGGGGGAAAAGACATTGCATTGATGTACTTTTAGGGAATTATGAATTTTCTAGAATGATTTCTGATTCTAAAGCAATGATCCCATTTATCTACAGAAAACAATCATTGTACAAAACTGTATCTATGTAAAGCATCATTTCTCATAATGTGGACTGTAGATATGTTTTTTCAAAATCCCATTTTTCCTGGTGTGCTTTGACTGGAAGTATCTGAATACTTTTACCACTGATTGCAGTATTTCCTGTACACACATGAGGTCAGCAGGTTTGTAATTGCACTCTTCCATCAGCATTGTAGACAAGCTCACATATCTGCACACATTAATCAGTAAGTCGTGTTTTTGATTAGGAAGTTTTATTACAAAATGTTACAAAACTAGTTATAAATGTCTATTGGCGCACTGAGACAGACCTACAAGTAATCATAATTTAAATACATAAATACAGATGCCCCAGGTCACTTTGGGACAAAGCTGCACTGGTGAAAAACAAACTAAGTAGCAAGTTTGACCTCTGACCCTAACAGGGGAGTTTAATTGAGACGTTCCTGGGGTGGTGTAATAGTTAAACTGCCCCCTACCACAGGTACTGTTAGAAAATCAACAACGTGACAGTGATTCAATGAGAAAAGTAAATGAATCTGTCAGGAATAGTAAAAATCTCAAATGATTTCCGAGGCGATTACATCACGGCATAACGAGGACCAAGGCACTTTCTGACGTCTGCAATCTCTTTGCTGCAAATGCCAGCAGTCTTGGCACGTCCAGTCTGGCAGGTTTGCGTGGACGGTAACTTTACTGGAACAATGGTGGCCCTGTTCAGAGGCTAATTCTCCTGACATGAACCTGCAGGGCAGAAGATGAAAAGACTTACTACAGGTATGTTTATAACTGGATTTTGAAATATGATTGAAAACACTGGGCGCTATCCGACAGGATTTCCATTAAAAGAACGATACTTTTTAAAAAAATAGAACTGTATTCCTGGCTCGGGAGACCTTTTCAAAGAATAGAAAAGAGGTTGGTTTCAAATGCTTTTAAGTGTTTGGATTCCCGAAGTAGCTATTATTAAAATGCAATCAATCTAAATTTGGTTAAGTTTGTTTATATGATTAAACATTTACACTAATGTTGATGAATATATTCTGGTTAAAAACAAGTTAAATTTAATAGAAGACTTTGTTGTCTTCATCTTGTATGCTATTTATTCTTCATCTACTTTAAAATACCAGCATGACGGCGCAGGTTGTTAAGCCGAATGGGATGTGGGCTCGTGTGGCTGCACAGTAGCAAGAAAGTGTTTTTTAGTGAGCACAGCAGAGATTGGAGTGTTTAAATAAAGAGCGGCATGTCTGCCGCACGGCTAACGCTGTTTCAGCAGCTCAACAGAACACCATTCTCCAAAAATCCCTTATTGTCTTTTACATCCCGTCTCCCTCCCAACAGCCCAAACCAGCTGTGGCAGACAGCTGCTCCTTGCTGCTCCTGGTTCTGTTGGAGGTTTCTTCCTGTTAAAAGCGAGGTTTTCCTTCCCACTTTTTCCATGTGCTTGCTCATAGGAGGTTTTCTCTGTATCATTGATACGTTTTTACCTTTTGGTGACTGTTGTTGTGATTCGGTGATATATACTAAAACTGAATTTAACCCCTGGTTACTCCTTTAGAGCCACTGTTTGTATTTTTTTTATGATAGTTTGATAGACTGCGGTTCCGTATAACCAATACACAACTTGTGATTAATTATAATAACATTTCTGCAACGTAGTTTGTCTAACATGGCTGTCCATGAGCTTCAGCTGTGCCTAATTAGGTTAAACTTTAAGAGCAAATGTGTCATTTTTAGCTTGTACAGTTTACTGTATTACATCATAATCAAAGCTTATTACATTAGAGGCACACGATTGTATTATATTGATGGATTGGATTGTGAATTTTATTACATTTGAGATTTTGTGTGGCCTCTTGTCTTTAATTTGACTTTTTTTGTTACAGATCCTACTTTCCCAGGAAACCAAGTTCCCATGGAGTTCAACAAAATACTGGCTTTTAACTTATGAACAATAAAAAGGGTCAGTCTGTGGTCACTCACATGTGCCAAGGCGCTCCTCCAGAAAGCCGATCTGCTCGCTGAGGGAGTCGATGCGATCTAGCTGCTGGAAAGAGTGGGATAGCAAGGTGGTTTTCTCCGACATGCCCTCATCCAATGACAGTGGGAAGAAGCTGCTGAAGGGCGTCAGCACCAACTGCAGCTTCTTAACAGAGAGATGAGAGGAAGTTAGGAAAAAGAGAAAAATGCTCCACATGAGGACCATTACACATCGTTATTTTATATATTTATCCACTTGCTCTTTATAATTGTTTAACATGAGAAGGATTTTAGTAAACTCGTGCAAGTTTTAAAAAGCCACTGTGCAGGCCTGGCATATCTAAAAATCTTTGGTTGGGGGATTAAAGAGCAGCTAAGACGTCAGATCACACACAAGGCTCAGAGGTTTTCCTGGTGAGCCAGACTGGGAGGTATCAGAGTAGGTGGCTTTTATATGGTTGAACATGTGTTCTTGAGTTTTCCTGTGTACCTTTTCCAGGAGCTCAACTCGGTTCCTCAGGCTCTGTACCTCCTCTGTCACATTCTCCACCAAGCCAAACTTTCCATCTATAGAAAACCACACAAATGCAGACATACACATCAGAGCGAGGTGACTTCAGTCTGAATCTGTAGAAACAAACTGATGAGGAGCAGAACAGAGAGAGGGGTAAGGGCATGGATGTGATGATGCGTGAGAATGATGCAGAGTATATATTGCATTGGATTCCTTGGAGCATCTAGGAAGCCCCCTTCAGTCCCTCCTCGAATGATTCATGACCACTGCAGTGTCTCCAAAGTATAAACCAGGAAGAAGACGGCAGGGCTGCTGAGAGAGAGGGGGAATGCAGGGCACAGAGGGGGGAATGGCCCAAAAAGCCAGTAGATAAGCTCAAAGACAGATCATGAGAAACATACAGGCAAACATTCATTCCTCCTGTGATTTGACTGTGAGGAAAAGCCTGGTTGTCTCCACTCGAAGGGGAATGTGTCTGCTGCAGGCCTTCGATCTGTGCCAGATGTGGCCCATTACTGAGACAAGAATAAGTTGAGAAACAGGGTGATGAAGAGGTGGAGGTTCAGGAGAAGAAAGGGGAGGGGGAGCTGGCGATGGCCCCCAGCAGACGGGGTTGATGTGGCTGGAATGAGAACACAAGTGTTGGCCAAGAACAGGGTGAAAAGAATGCAGGCGAGAGGGGGGGTAAAGACTGCAGCATAGAAATGTAGTCCAACACCCCTGGCATAATATCACTCTGATATGTGCATATGAACACAAATAACAGAAAACTGTCTCAGGAAAGACATCTTACAAAAACATTGCAATAATTATTTTTGCCTCTGACACAGAACACATTGCTTTCTTAAAGTACAAAAATTTGTCATATTGGCTTTTTATTTCCCTTTCCTCTGAGTGTTTTTCTGTCCTTTTCGCAGACTCAGCAATGCTTCCACTGATCTATCACGCCGAGTCACGGAGACGAGCACTTTCCTTTGAACAGAGAAAACTCGCTCAGTGTGAAACTCGATAAACAGAAGGGAGTCTGGAGCAGAGCCTGAGAAATTTGGCAATCTCACACACTTTACAGAGAAATATTTCTTTTTCTGCAAGTACAGGAGACACTCTCTCCTTTTGGATTTTAACAATGTGGTGACTCACAAAAAAAATCCCCCAAGTTTGAAAGATCAGGATGAGGTACGTCTTCTTTAAACTTTCATGTTACATAAATTTCTGAGAGAGCAGATAATGTTGACACAGAATTGGAGTTAAAAGGAACATCCTCGGGTCAACGACCACATTTCTAGACATGGAGAGGGAGGGGGGGTTTTGTATTTTTCTGTTGTTGCTAAGATACAGTAAGCACACACAGGGAAAAATGACTTTTTCTTGGTAGGAGATAACATTTAAACTTTTTTTAAGAGAGCTAATGGAGTGTGTGGGATAAAAATATGTCTGTATTAGCACGGGAGCTCTATTAGAGGCAGATGTTTGCTTTGCTCACAGGACTCATAGGAGTCATTATCAAAGCCCAATCGGTCCCAGTCTCGCCGCACGGGGCCAGACCGCAAGACATCTGTCTGGAGTCGGCACCAGTCGCAGTGCATTATTACTCACGGTACGAGTTGAGAGTGGCATAGCGCGTACCAAAAGTAATAATGGACCGCGAAGCTGGCCATGTTCCTCTCTTCTGTCCAGACACTTTGCTGCTGCGTAACACAAAATTAGACACACTCCTATCCTGGTCATTTACCTGCATCAGTGTGATGACTCACACCCACTGTTGCCTGGCTGCTCTGTGATGAGGAGGTAGGAGTGGCAGGAGGAGGAGATGGAGGAGGAAGGCTTTGACAGGAACGGCCGTCTCCAGCAAGGGCGAAGCCCTCTCTGCATGCACATCGATAGCTGCCAGCTGTGTTCACGCACTGCTGGGCGCACCGCTGCCGCTCACTGCACTCATCCACATCTGACAGGCAAGAAAGACCACTGTGAATATACACGCAGACACCCGAGAGTGGCTTTGCAGGTAAATGGTATGAGCACATGTACCTGTTTGGCACTGGTGTCCCGTCCAGCCTAATGGACAAGCACACTGGTTGGGTCTTAAACAGGTACCCCCATTCAAACAGGGTTGTCCGCACACAGCTGTGAAAGACATTTATGAAGCGATCATTTGGTTAAGAGATCACTCTTGTATATGGATCCATGGTATCACAGTTAGCAAGGGTTGGTTTATGCTAGCCTGGCTTTCTAACATTTTAATTGTTGTCAAATTTAATGTAGTTTGTTTTAATCTGTACAAGTGACCTGTCTAAGTTCTAGGAAATATGCAGTTTCACTTTCTCACTGAGATGAAACAGATGTTCTTGCTGAGACAGAGACAAAAAGATCGACATCAAAATAATAAATCAAAGCAAATTAATACAAACAATAAAAAATACTCCACCTCAGAACTTCAGAAAAAACACAGTTAATATTGTACAAAAAAAATGTAGCTGCATTCCATCTGCAGAGAGCTTGCTAGCAAGCTATCTGCTCGACTCTGTATTTGTGTTGGTAACTGCAACTTTTTAACATACAGAATGACTTCCCATATGATTTGCTATTATTTAAATTCAATAAAATGCTCTAAAAGGCAAAAACAGCATAAACACAGAGCTGTCCAGTTAAAGAGCTTAAATGCAGAGATGAAGCCTAGCAGGTAGCCATGACAGTTGTCACTAAAAGTTGCCACACCCCAAATAATGCAAACTTTAAGCCTTACCAACCTTACACTTCTAATAGAGTAAGAAATCAGTTACAAATAGTGTAGCGGGATGTAAATACGCTTATTTCTGCTCTAAATGTGAACATTTAAATTTGGGTATCTATGTGGAGTTTTAAAAGCAAGCCTAAAGTGGACATTTGAGGAACTGCAGTTTTGTCATTTGTATTTTTTATATTAACTGCCTCCAAGACTGGAGCTTGGACAGGGCCTTTGACTTCCTGGAATTTCTGCTGATCCAGTTTTTTTTTTTAAACTGGGCTAATATAGCTCTTTCCTCATTATTCTAATTATTATGCTACATTAAGCTAGCTGTAGCCTACAGCTTCATATTACATTTAAACATATAAAGGTGGGATCGAGCTCTTTATCTAACTCTCAGCAAGAAAACAAATTGGCATTTTTCTAAACTCTCTATTAAGACTTGATGCTACACAGGGAAAGAAAATGAGATAAACAACCCTGAAACTCATCACATCCCACTGAAATACCTTGGTTGCAGTTGTGAGAGTAAAATCTCCTCCAGCCCGGGCAGCAATCTGGGTAGAAATGCAAAGGAGAAGCTGCTCTGTTCACCTGTCGGTATGCCACCAAGTACGTAGTCCTGCGGAGACGAAGTACAGACACCCACAGCGTTTAGGCATTTCTAATTATTCATGCTGTCATCATTCTCATCTGTAAGTGTGTGTGTGTCTGTGCGTGTGGGGTTCAGCCTGTGAGGCCTTTTCCATGATCTGTCACACAGCAGGAATGCTGATGAGAGGATGGTAATTTGGTGGAATACTGAACCACGGACCACTGACTTCCAAGAGTGTGTCAGAGATGAGAGAGGGGCTGGAGATCGTATCGAAAATCAGAGCTTTTGCTGCAGCCTGCTGAGAGCTTGGTATGTTTAGCTTGCAGGGGGTGATGAACCGAAAGCTAAAGGAACCAGTTTGGGATGTGCTTTCTTAAAACAAAACAAGGAACTATTTTCTAGGGCTGTAATTGTCTACATAATGAGCACACAAGTTACAAATACTTTAAAGTGAAGCTCCATTTTGGTAGCAAGAGGAGTTAAAGAGAAAAAAATGGGGAGAATGTAGGGGTGGGTTGGGGGGGTCAGAGCTAGAAAAAGGGAGAGAGTATGGAGGGAGATAGAGTCCAAAATAAACACGACCAGTCTCTGTGGGCAAGCAGTTCATTTCCCGTCGTTACACAAAGTATTCGATATTTAGATTCTACCCAAATATGTGCCACCATGACCCAGTTCTGTGAAAAATGCACATGTATGTGTATATGTGTGTGTTTGTGTGAAGTCAAGATCTATTTATGATTGTATTCCTAACCCTTTCCCTTCCTAAACATGTCAAGCACTGTTTACTCCTTAATAAACTAAACATCTTCAGATAAAGGCTGACTCTCGATGTAAACTGACCGTGCAGTTCGGCTGGTTTTTCTCCCCCAAAAAGCTGTAGATGTCTGATTTAGTTGTTGTGTCTTTGTGCTGATTCAGTGTATGGAGGGCTGAGAGAGTTTGTCTCACTTGTATGTGCTGCAGAGGCGATGCCCCTGACACAGGGTGAGGTAGGGCTTGTGCACTGGCTGGACGAACGACTCTGTCGTAGTGACAACACTGTGACGGAGGTCTCTGCCGCACACCCTTCTCCTGTGAAAGGCAGACGTGAGATTTGATGTTAAAAACTGACCAGAAGTGCACATTTGTAGGTGCTCCAGCTGCACCGGAAGCTGAGCTGGTTTTTAAATGGAGACATTTTTACAGCTTTTAAGTCATTCCAGACCCAAGTTCAAACAGTTTGAGATATTTAAGCCCTAAGTGGTCCCCAATTCACATGAAAAACTCCAGATTGGAGTCTAATTGCTCCTGATTGACCTATGTAATCACTCCTGAATGTGTCCGAGTTAAGAGCTGATCTTCGACCTCCAAGTTGCCACTTGACCTTTCATTCACCTTTCAGTTAATTTTGGCCTATGTACAAATCAACTGAAAAGGACAAAATGAGCCTGCCCATACTGATGTGCATCTAAGAGTTGGAACAGAGACTGAGGTCATTTGACCAACCTGTATACATTCACATTGGCTGAGAATGTCACAGTATGAATGACAGCTAAAGGGGAGATCTGCAGCTGAAATCAGGACAGAGCTACTGACTAAATGACAGGCCATTACAAACACATGAAGAGTATTAAGTGAGCTATTACCCGTGGTGAGCGAAGAACTGGGGAGTGGCCATCACATGAAGGATGAAGAGGGAGGAGGAAAGGAGCAGTATTTGGTACATCGTCTTCCTCTTTCCCACGTTCCCTCGCTGGGTCTCTTGGACTCTTCTCCGTGCCAGTCGGAGGGAAGAGGAGAGGAGGATGAAGAAGGGGTGACGGGGGGAAGGGTGTGGATTGAATCCAAAGTCTCCTCACGCTGAATATCTATGTGTTTCCTTCAAGGAGGACCACTCCAGCTACCTATAAGGAGAGGGCATGGGGAGAGGATGTGTTAAAGCAATAAAACGGAACAAAAAATTATGCGAACAAGGGGATAAATAAAGAAATTTAAATGGAATACAGTTCATTCTTTTGCAGCCACAGAGCAAATCCTACTTCCTTTGAAGCCATGGACCACTAGAGGGAAGGACTCTGGTGTCAGTGTCAGCTGTGTCATGTCTGCATTAGCAGATTTCTACAGGCGACCACACCAGAGCCTCTGCACTCCTTTACAAAAAAGGATTAGCACCCATTAAATCTGTGTAGAAAATGTTAATGGGTCTGGAGAAGCTCTGTCACTTATGATTAGCGGGGTCGCTGAGGACAGGTAAAGGGGAAGCCTGAGAAACAGCAGATTACTGAACCCGGAAGTCATTAAGTAGCAAATAAAAAAACTAGCTGAAACTGGAAAGTGGTCACATTTGTACGGCAGGGAGCAGCTTGAGCTGAGCAGTATGGGTCTGGGCAAAAGAGACACGCGATTGTGTCAAATAAAAATGAGAGACTTTACATCTGGAAACATCTCAATTACAAAATGGATCGTTTATAGCTCTTTTCAGTTTTTACTTTCAACTTTTAACATCCCTGATTTGTATTTTATATCACAAATAAAGTTGTTGCTGTTGGGTTTTTTCTCGGTGAATGTTTCTAAAAGTTATTAAACAGGGTGCAATGAGAAAACAGCAATAAAGACCTAACATGCATCTAAAGAGTTCATTTGCTCCCACTGTACATTTGGATTTCTGCGCTAACCCTAAATGTCCAGTTGACATTCCCAACGACACAGAAAAGCCTTCTGGAAAGATATTGGAGATCTCGCTGCTAGGCAGATGTTTGAATGCATCCAATAAGAACATAGAGGGGCATCGATGACCTGCACCTGCCCTGCCTCTGAGGTCACAGGGTAAAAGACAAAAAAGCCAGAGCACTCTCATTTCACAGATATGTTCATCCACCCTCACACCATATTAGATTATAACATACTGTAGAGGATTAAAAGAAAGACTGAGCCACCCATTCCCAAGTAGGACTGTCAGAGTGCATGACAGTCAGCTTGGGCCCGCTCCTGCCCTAATGTAAGCCTACAGTCATGTTTTAACACAGCCGATACTAAACCCCTGGGAAATCTCTCAGAGCACATTAAATCCATCCAGGCGGTATCACCAGTTTTCAGGACCGAAGCCTGCTGGAGAGTCCTCAGTTATCCTGGAGGTGACACTAAGCCACGGATGACAGTTTGCATGTCTCTCTCATCTCTGGCTGGCTTTGTGCCTGAAGACGTGACATGCACTTCTAAAGCCCTGCATTCATTCACAAATCACTTCAGAGAGCAGGACGCTGTGCAGCAGGTAGCCACTTTCAAGATGATATGTGTTAACGATTCAGCATCATTACACTGGCAGGGGAAGATCGCCACAGGGGGAAACACTTGTCCAAAAAGTTAGTGTCGGTTAGGACATTGGAGTTTTATCAGCTTTATTTTAAAGTCTTTTGGGTGTCAGGAAGTACATCAGGAACACCAGAGACTTAATCCATGTTTGTATATGCACATGCAAATGTTTCAAAGCATAATCAATCCTGGCCTACTGACACATTAAAAAGCAATCGGACCATTTTTAGATTCACCGCGAGAGGGCGCTGTTTTACAGGCACTGTATATAAAGTCAAAGAGACCCTCTCTCCTCCGCGCTATTCTCACGCACAGAGAGTCACGTTAAACGCATGGTTTCACGAGAGAATCGGAAATAAATACAAAGAAAAACCAAAGAGTCCTACATCAAAGAACAAGCGGGCATGCCGGACACACCATTAAACACGAGCCAAACTCCGGGGCGCCCGCATGGATACATAAGAATAATGACAAACCGTGCAATAAACAATCAGCTCCTCTAAGATGACTCCCGCAAAACAATTAAAAAAATTAAAAAGCACACACACTTGTACACTGCTGGTAGTAGAGAAACAGCCGGAGGTCTGATAAAAGTTAGTTTCCTTATATTCCGCCAAGTGAGGGGAGAGTCCAGTGATAAAACTCCGCCACTACTCAGGTTTGTCCTAGAGCTCGGACTGTCAGAGAGCATGGGGGGCGATGGTAGGACCTCCTCCCACTCCTCCAGCTGGGTGTCCCGCAGCTCACTCTTGCCTTCACTGGGGGTGGGGGGTGGTGGTGGGGGGGGGGTTCACTCGTGTGTGACGTCAGTAGGTAGACTACTCAGCTTTTTCATTCATAAACTATCGACTGCCGACTGGTTGGTAAAGAGACCCGAGAGAGGCACGCTGCCCCTCCCTTCAAGCAATTTACCCATCACAAGGAGGCAGATTTTGGGTGCTGGGATCACTCCTCCTGCTCTGTCTCACACACACATACGTCCACTGCTTTTGTGAAACGATACATTTGTTGGAATAAATATTTTTCTTTGTTTTGCACAAAGCAAGAATCACGCTGTTTCCCATTCCGCAAACAGCTCATTGCAGGGACAAAATAATCCAATCCTTTAATTAACTGCTAAAGCTGAAAAAAATAAAATAGTCCAAGGAAATCTATATCAACAATACTTATAAATCATGTAACCTATTATTGAGACTTTAAACATTACAACCCTGTTATGTGAAAACAAATGGCTACC